AGGAGGTTTCTTTCTTTCCAAACAGGCACACTGAATGGCAGATGGGGAATTAACGTCCCCTCCCTGACGATAGACAATAAATCAGCTCCTCACTAAAATTCGGGATTAAGGGCCATCCAGATAAATCAAAGTGGGAAATCAAGCGCTCTCCTCAACTTCAAGGCAATGGATTAGAGAAGAGGGACACACTCAGCTTGATTTACTCAGTTATGATATTATTAGGTGTCAAAACTTTAGCACAGCTGATATTTCTCCCAGTGTAAGATCAACTTCCCCAGTCGAGGAAAAAAAGAAGAAAAGAAAAAAGAAAAAAGGAATTATGCAAACAATTTAACAGCAGGGACCAGTCTTTATTACAGTCCCCTCAGGATGGACGAATGAAAGCGCTGAACAGCTCCCAAGAACAGTAGCCACAGTTACACAGGGCTTAAATATCATGTGAGCTTGGCAGCCCTCATCCACCAAGGAGAACTCACAAAAAAGGCACATTACACATAGCAATATCTGATAGAAGCTTGCCCCAGTATCGGTTCCAGGGAAAGGATGAACCGATAATTGCTTCTTGAGAACAAAACGAAACCAAAAGAATAAAAGCTGGAAGGAAAAGCAGCCTTTCTGGTAAATCTGTGACAACAGCATCAGCAGCTCTGACTGGTTTATTGCCCATTCCTTTGGCAGCCCAGCAAAATCATCTCCCAGAGATCTACATGTCTCTCTGTTAAATAATCATTGCACTCGCATTCATCAGGCTGCAGCGAAGGCTTTCCCATTACCCAATTCACCAAGCCATTAAGGGGTCCTCCTGAGCACTGTGGGCTGTCACACTTCCCTCGCAGAGCACCTAGGAGCGTCACAGCCATCACACCAGCATGCACCTTGAAAAAGAACAATGTGATAGGACAAAGGGTGATGGTTTTAAACTAAAAGAGGGGAGATTCAGGCTGGATGTGAGATAAAAAAAGCTTTTTGGTGAGGATGGTAAAACACTGGCACAGGTTGGCCAGAAAGGTGGTGAATGCACCATCCCTGGAGACATTCAAGGCCAGGCTGGACGTGGTTCTGGGCAACCTGATCTAGTTGAAGATGTCCCTGCTCATTGCAGGGAGGTTGGACTAGATGAGCCATGAAGGTCCCTTCCAACCCAAACTGTTCTGTGATTCTATGGCTCCTGCCTGCAAGGGGGAGACCTCCAAGAGGAGCCTTGCTGTTGCTTCCATCACACTCTAGGAAGCTCTCCCTAGAAGTTTCCCCTTTTTGGAGGGCCCCTCCTCCTCCAAACTAAGCCTGATTAATCAAAACGGGCAGAGGCAGAGTCATCCAGTGCACTCTCAGGGACAACACCTGAGAGGAACAGGCTGCAGCCGTGCCTGGCACAGGATAAACATCTGCTCCTGCTTACCAGCAACACTTGGCCTTTCACTTTCTGCTTTCAGCAACGAGAACTGGTTCTGCACAGCATCTGTTGCAACTTCTTGCAAGCACAGAAATGCACAACGAACCTCGGCAAGTAAAACCAGTGCAGGGAGACTCCTTCCAGCCCTGTTCATCCCAGCGGACTGCAGGCAACGCGTTACTCTCTGTGTTCTCTTGGCATGTGCAGAGCTGTCCCCAGGCTGCGGTGGTCTCTCTCAGTTGCTGCTGGAAATAGTACCAGAGGCTTTTCCATGAAACTATTTGAAAAATGCAGATTCTCTTCCCTTCTGTGTCAATGTGCATGCATGACGTGACATGCCATTCAGGTAAACCTAGCTTTAGCGGTGCGGATACTCAGAGAAATGAACTAACAAGCACATGCCCCAAACCAAACTTTAAATTCACAGGTACGGATATTTGCACCAACCAATTGAGAGACAATAAATAGTATGTAGTTTCTGTGCTCTATTGTGAAAACGACTCAAAAAGATCAATAAACATTAACCCCATACACAAATGTGTGATCTACACAGAATGCTTAACAGTAATTGCAAAAGGATTTGTTGAGTAATTCCCCACACACACACATAAGAGGCAAAAAAAGAAAAGGAATGATTGTCAGGAGACGACCTGGTTGTGGGAAGAGGCACTTAATTCACTGCATGAATGACTCACAGTGAATTACTTGCATAACTCCACTCACGGAAATCACTACTCTGCAAAAGTGCATACATGTTAAATCAACCAAAACACAGAGCGGTCCATATTCTTGGTACAATGCTGTCTTCTTGCCGGTACAGAATGAAGAACATTCCTCTCAGCTGGGCGGGAAGAGGGGAAAAATCCTCTCTTTGGTATCCCGGCAATGTTTTCAAGAAACAGTTTGACAGCACTCGCTGGCCCTATTCATGCCTGGCATTTATGTTAAAAAGAAAATCCAGGCCTGTAATATTCAAGAGCAAGCTCTTGTTGACAATGAAACTTTGAGTAATAAATCTGAGGCTGTGTTTCTCACCCAACTCCATTTAATTCTACAAGGTAATTATGGGCCTTTCCTGCAAAAGCCAGAGCTCTATGAAGAATGTCAACTGGCATGATTTTCTTCAGGCTATTCTCAGGATAAATAACTCCTTCCTTTATTTGCTATCTGCGCTTCGATTGTGAGGTACAAAGCTTACTGGAATTAAAGGGAACAATTTTTCACAGTCCCACCCCACTTTAAATTCCCACATCAAGTCTGCAAAACTAAACCAAAAGGCAAAAAAGACCAAAAAAAAAAAAAAAAGGGTAAAAAATTTAAAAAAAAAGGGGGGGGGGAAGGAAGAAAGAAAATGGTCTTGGCTCCTTTGTAGGTCTCCTGTGCCTGACACAGTCCATGAGCCACACTTCAGGCACTGAATGTGGGTGTTGGTGACCAGGTGATACACATCCCCTTGGCTGCAACACAGTAATTGAAATAGCACAAACTGGGAGCTTTTCCGCAGGTACAGTCAATGCGGAGCTTCAGCTAGTATTTCAGAGCTCTCCTGTTAGGAGCTTTATTGATTCCAAGGACAACCTCAGTCTACAGGGAGACTCACTGTTCATATGTTGCATGAGGAGCAACAGCAGCAGAACAGCTGGGTACAGAGAGCATCCCATCCAGAGCAGAGGTCCACACAGCAGTGGCAACGCTGTGGGCAACAGCATTCTTGGGGAAGCAGGAGAAGCTCATTTGCTTTTGTAGATCTGCCCAGCAGGTAAAGCACCTACAAAACCCAGCAGGGTTCCGCACTGCAGGAGAGATGGTCTCAGCCACCCCTGCCCAGCTGGGACAGGACAGCAGGGGTGAACACAAGCACATTGATTCTGCTGGCCAGTGAGACCCCAGCTACGTTGAAGCAAGCCCTGGAGTAGAATCCTCAGCTCCTCCTGGGGTTTCTGCTGATAATCGTTGAATAAAATGCATAAATACTCCCTGGAACTGGGACCTGAACCTGGGGTTTCCTTTGTCCTGAAGGAAATAATCCCCCATATCATTTGCTTATGGTGAATATGCCTATCAACAACATCCTGAATATTATGTTTTGGTGATGCAGAAGGCATAAAGACCCAAGCGGCTCAGGCTAAGGAAAGCCTGCAACCCCTATCTCCTGCTTCCTGAATGCACGCTCTAAAATACCACAGTATCCCACACAGGAGAGGGACAAGGGGTCTGTTGCAGCTTTTAATCCAGCTGTTTGAAGAAAGCAGGTATCATCCAAGGAGCCTGCACTGGTAACTTGAGAGTAGGATGTGCCCTAGCTCCTGAACAGCTCTGGGACAACCTCCAGTTCCTTCTCAAGGTTATTGTACTTTTGAGCACATGCTGGATCTGTGGCTAAGATCCACAGGGAATTTTGTCTCAAAATGGATGAGGCTATTGATACCAGCCAATTCTGGGAGAAAAGTGGTGCCAAGGTGCGGGCAGTGCAAACCTGATTTCAGAGGTCGGGGTTTGGCCCTATTTTTTTCTAAATCAATATTGCTCCAAAACTATGAACCAGCTTTGTACACTGAGTTTATGAAATTCATGCTTATTTAGTGGGTAAATTCATAAAACTTTGCTATGTATCAGCAGCTCTCCAACTGGCAAGCAAATAACTCTACCTCACCCATTTCTACGAGCTAATTGCATGAACACAGGAGCACACAACTTCGGCAAGTGCATGCTCTAGGATATCACACATAACACAAGTGACTTGTGCTGTGACAACCTAAGCCAAATTCACTTACAGGCAATTAAGTCAGCTGCATGGTGGTCGTGAGGCAGACTTTTGGTAGTAACATGAATCACAGAATTGTTAGGGTTGGAAGGGACCTCTGGAGATCATTTGTCCAACCCTCATGCAAAGGCAGGGTCACCCAGCACAGGTTACACAGGAACACATCCAGGTGGGACTGAATGTCTCCAGAGAGGGAAACTCTACAACGCTCCTGTTCCAGTGCTCTGCCACTGTCAATGTAAAGAAGTTCATTCCTCCTCATGTTGAAGTGTACTAAAACCCTGCATCAAAGTAGTAGATTCAAAAGCCTAAGAGTTGGTAGACGTCAGAAGAAACTTCACACAGGAATGAGCAATTTCTGAGTGTCTTGTTAAACTAAGCAAAAAATTCATCACATAGTAGTACAGGATTGAGAGATGGCACCAGATTTTGGAGTTGTGCTGCTAACCTATTTCAATGCTGTGTCCATTAACCTTCCACCTTTTGGCTGTCCAGTCCATTGCACTTGCTAGCTGCTTGACGCAGAGGCTGAACCTGATCTGCAGTCACTCAACTGCAGTGGTTCTTCCACTGCAGTTTTTAAAACTCTATTTGCATTAGTTTTTAGCCCTTGTCATTGAAGCAAAAAGTTTGCTATTGTGATCCACGAGATCTCAAGATTGCAGATGCCTGGTAAAAACAAGCTGGAACGTGTCACTGTGCTTTACTTCCACATGGCGGATTATCAGCTCTTGGTGACACCACCAAGAGGCGTTTGGAGATTCCTGGCATGATCTGATTGAGCTCAGCCCAGCATTCCTGCCTCCAGCCACACATTCACAATGACAAGAGACTCCAGCACACTTTTGAGAAATGCCTTTTATTGTAGGACAGGAGTTGTCACATGGACATTAACAAAAGAAATCATTCCATAGCAATACCAAAATCAAGTTGTTACACAAATGCAAAACCAAACCAAAACAAAACCCGAGTTAAAATGATGAAAAAGCAGTGTGCTGTTACACAATGTAAAACATAGACAACGGAAAGCCACGTTCTTCTGCTAAAGTGTCAGATGCTCATCACCATCACAGGGAAATAAGTGATTTCAACTTTTTGTCTCCCTCCCCCCTCCAAAGAGGCAAACTTTAAAGTGAGATACTTCAAAGTGTCAGACAACACAGAAAGCAGCATTTTCAGGAGTTTCTGTAACATTTGGATCTTTTGTCCCCTTCTTTCTGCAATCCTATTTTAAACGTGTATTGGGAAGGTTAGAAGAAAGAGTCAACAGCACTTAAGCAGCCAGCGCTACTGATAATGGTCAGAAGAAGGTTCTCCCTCTTCCAAGGGGCAGTGTGAACAGCATCAAAGACGACCAGCCTCTCTGGCAAATGAGCTCTGGTTCAGTTCACTAAAGAGGATTTTGCCCTTAAAATATGTGAAACACAAGACATCCTACCCTTGAGAACTGTTTTGACTCTCCCAGTGGTGTTTTGAGGACAGGTGGAGGAAAGATACATCAAAATGAGTGTCTGAAGAACAATTCTTGAGATCAGAAGTAGAGGCTGTTCTTGGTCTTTTACACCAAATAAACAACAGTTCTGTAATTGATGATTTTCAGTATTACTGTATAAAATGATACTTATTAGAAATAAGGCTCTGGAATACTTTAAGGCACCTCATGGTGAAGAAGTATTTTAAAGGCTTGAATAACTCAGAAGACAGCTCTTTTCCCAAGATTCCCAGGAAGGAATGTAGTTTATAGTAACCAGCTTTGCCATTTTCAAATAAAACATGAACATTTTCGAAGTGAAAATTCAGAACTATTTGAACTTTTCTTTAAAAGGTGACCCAACAGCCACCTAAACAAAGCAACTATCAACAAACCCAACAAAGAACCTAAAAAACAATTTTCTGATTAAAATATTTTTGTTCAACTAAAAAGGTGGTACAATGCCAATGACAGACACAAATGACTCACCATCAGTTGTCTTACCCAGCAATTCATGGGTTTCAAGTGTGATTTTGTTTTCTCTTATACTGATATTTGATACCTACAGCTAGTAATGTCCTGCCAAGACACGTGAAGGAGCAGAATCAGAATTTTCAGAGATACCTAACATTTTTGTGCACATTCAAAAAGCTACAGGATGAAATTAATTCTAGCTTAGAGACTGACAGCTAGATCTGTCAGGGTCTCATACCAGTGAGTCTGCAGCAGCCAGTGTTTTGGAGCTCTGCTCTGAAATATGACTTACCACAGATTCATTTCAGAGCTGAAATGAACTAAAACTGTAATTATACCCTTGGTTTACGCATGCATATCTCCTTGGTTCTGATATAAAAATATAAACTCAAGGTATATGGCCAGGAGAACGTACTGTTCTCTTAGAGTATTTAAAAGTCTCAGCATATTATACATCATATTTACTCTCTTGTTAGAAGTAACTACTTAGAATAAAATGAATTCACTACTGCAAAACGCAATTAAACTCTGGATATGTCCACAGTGCTCAATAAAAAAGGTAAACAAATGAGCTCAAGCACCAGACTCCATTAAGTGTCTACACTACCTTACTGGTCAGCCCACCCTAGCCCTCTTTTGGACCACTCCAGCCAGGTCTCTCCATGGCAAAGCTCGAGCACAGTTTGGACATGGTTCACACCATAGATCCTTCCAAAAAGGCAGTTACAGACAAGGCCATGCAAGGTTAAACTTTCCTAATGCTACACAGTCTCCCAGCATTATCCTATGTGACTTTATGCACTCAAAACACTTCTCTACATCTTTACATACCTCTGCAATACAAACATCACTCTACTGAGCTGCAGAATAGCTCCATCCTTACGTCAGACAATTTGAATCAAAAAAAAAGAAACCACAATGAAACACACTAGATAAGTCTATTAAGTGGACAGCATGAACCTGGAGAAGACCAAGGGCCAAGGGATACAGAAAAAGTGGATGTGGCTGGTGTGCTCTGAGAAAGATCAGCCATAAGCACTGCTTACATCTGTGCTACATGGCTCTGGGGACATGTAGCTGTGTCTGACCATCTGCTAATTAGCACCGGATGTAGTACAAGCCTCATGCTGCACATCACTGCATGAAGTTCAGTTTCACTGATCTCGGTGGGATTTACTGTAGCGTAAGGTACTACACAACACAGAAGTGTCAGAACCTGCAAGACTAGGGACAAGAGCCTTTCGTTTTATAACTTCTTGCTAACAGAAGAGGATGTTACCAGACAAACCAGATGTCTGATGTTTGTTTCCCCCACCCACGAGGGGAAGCACTGCAGGTAGTAAGAGGTCTTCCCCTCTCTCCCTGGATCTCACAGCAGGACAGCAAGCCTCACCACAGGGAAGATGCTGCACCAGGGGAACGAGGATTCTGCCTTTTGCCACTGGGCTGACTCCTGAGCAGGACAAAGTTCTTCTAGATGAGCTCTTGTGTTGAGGCACACAGGCTTTGGCCTCAATTTACTTCTCAACAAGGAGAGTAATTCTGTATTTGAATCAGTTATTTGCCAGCAGAACTGCTTGAAACGAGAAACATTCGTGTTTGCCTTACTTTCAGACCACTAGGTGAACAATGAGTAAATAACGTTTGTCTTACAAAGATAACAGCAAGCATCTCCAGTATGTTTTAAAAAGCACAGTACTTTCCATGTCCCAAAGAGAACTGTTGCCTTTCAGTCTCTTCTGTGCCCTTTAAACAGTTAACATGAACAGATTTATTTTCTACTGGACCTCAAAGAGCAGGTATCTCACTAAACATGAAAAAAATCTGAAGCAGCACAGCACTTCCTGTTTTTCTCTTTAAACATGGGAATGGTGCCTTTGTTTGTTGAATCAGGATGTAACTTATGAATACCAAACCTCCCTCTCCCACTGCATTCCTCTCGCTATCAGCAACAGCCATTCAAAACTACAGGTTGCACTTTCCTACCTCTTCTTGTAGGATGGTAACTTCAAACAGCTCGAGTTCAACAGAACCCCTGATGCAAAACTTTAAATATACTAAGGTTACATATTTTTAACATAGAGTTAATGAATTTGTTGTGTACCCCACAGTTACAGCTTTGGCTTGAAGGCACAAATATTAAGGCACAATAAATGCAAATAATGTATACATCTCAATGTGTTGTGTTGAAGATAACTTTGTACTACACGGCATTTAGGTATAATGACATGTCATTCAAACATTTCCTCAAGTTATTTTAATACCTTTTTTTCTTTGATAACCTGGATAAAAAGAGGAATGTATGTTAAATTATTTAAATATCGCTTCAGTGCAAACGTGGTGATTTTCTTCTAAAGTTACAGAAGATTGGGATTTGATTTTTCAGCATATGGATTTTAGCAAAATAGAACTTAATATTTACATTCATCTTGAACAGCATTATTTGAATCATTTATCAAAAAGTAAGTATAAAGTAATTTTTGCTATCAAAAGGAAAAAGTATTTTTGGCTTGTTCAATCATTTTTTCTACCAACCTGCATAGCTACTTATGACAGGTAGAAAGACAGCTGCACTAGACAACTAAGCTGTAGCCTACCAAATCTGCTTTTTAGACATAGGTGTCATGCTAAAGTGACACCGAAAAAATTTCGTTTTGCTTGCTCTCCAAATATTACCCAAAAAGGACACATTCCGATTTTATAATAGGCTCCAAATACACACCCTAGACCTGTCAGGTGTCCTGCACCTGTTTAAATAAAAGAGATCTCTACCACGTAACTTCCAAATAAAAACCGAGTCTGCCTAATTTCCTTTGCAATACAAACAGAATTAGTTGGAAAGGAAAACATATTGCACTGAAATTAAAGAGGGAAAGTAAAAATGCTCTTCTCAGTATTAAACAGGAAGGATGTCCAGTGCAAAGAATTGCGCCCTTCCTTTTCCTCTCCCACTGACACTTGCAAACCCTGTCACTGAGTTTAGGTGATCTCAGTTTTACATTCTACGGAAAACAGTTTCGGATATCGGGAATCACAGTGCAGTTTCGGTTATGCATAATCCTGAGGAAGGATCCAAGGAGGAGTCAGTGGCAAGCTGACCGTTCTGAACAACTTCGGGGTAATTCTTACTGAAGTAAACCTGGGAAAAAAAATGAGATCCTGTAAGTAACTGTGCATCAAACACCTTTTTAGTTTCAAATAAAATTTCTGGAGATAAATGCATGTCCTTAAGGAATCCCATCAGGAACTTCAGGCTAGTGGCATTCAGTAACTCTGCATCACTGGAGAATTAGTAAAATTGTTATATGATCTTCCATTATAACAAAGTGTGAGAAAAATCCCACACAACCTGTAGATCCGCTCAAATTCCGGTAATTCAGATAAATAGATATGTTTTATCACTTTACATTAAACTGATAAGTAAAATCATTTTACTAGCTCAAAACATGGAGATAAATTAAAAACAGGATGACAAAGAAGCTGTGAAATCTTGCGTCTGCACAAGGGTTTCTCATTTTCACACATAAAATGAACACAATGGATTTGGATGTTAATATCAGGTTGTAATCCCTATATTTTACAAACTATGATTGACAACCATTGAAACTTCAAGGTATATGTATGAAATATCCCAGCGTTTAATTTGTGCTGCAGAGCAGTTATAGGGCCTATAGAAATGTGATCTCTGGATAGTGAACCACAATAATGAAAGGAGAAGCAAAAGCTTTAACAATGACTCAACCAAGCAACTTCTCTAAAATGTAAGATGATACCAAATAATAGGACAGTTCTTTGCCAAGCCTTTGAGTTCCTGAATTCTACCAATTTCTAGCTCAAGAGATACAGGTTTCCTGATAAATGTATAATCAGAACATAAAGGAAATGAAATGCTGTCAAGTTTCACTGTTCCACAATCATCAGTTTTTAGTAGCTGTATCGTATCTCTGTTCCTTGACAGATGCGCATAACAAAATGAAATAATGTCAAGACTTCTGTGCTCTTATCTAAAAATGTGTTTGGGTGAAAAAGGACTTCAAATGCAATTTTTTCAAAGAGGAATGTGAAAAGTTTTGTTTGAGTCTTTTAAAACAGAAAATACACTATCTTTCTGAAGCTGACACGTGTCACGAGTTAGGTCTCTCAGTCAGACTGCTTTGACTATGGCTTATGAGACATTTCTACAATTTGTAGTTGAAAGCGTTGTCAACAAAATTCAGTTAGTTTGATAATAATGTCCTTTTCATATGTATGACTACATGTCTAAGACACGTGGGATAAAACAGAAATAAGTCATTCTATAAACACATTCTTGTAAATACCACTGTCGTCTACTGTGCACATGCGCTAGCACAGGACATATGCATAGTTACAACTCTCAAAGAATATTAAGGTCTGATTTGAATCAACAAAGGAACTGGAAGTCCTGTTAAAAGGCATTCCTCAGTAACCAGCCACGATCGGATGCAACTGAGGAAAGTTAATCAGGCGCCTGCCCGCACACACACTTCAGAGACAGCAGCCTCAGTTGTGTATTCGCATACTGTTCCTGGTTTAAAACATAAAACTTTGGCATACTTTTAGTGCAGCTTTTGAATGGGATTTTTTTTTTAATGGAAAGTTAATAGAAAACCTTGGCACATTACTAGAGATGTAATGAAACGGCAGCGGCTTTTCAACTGTCTCATTGCAATTCCTCCCCTGAGCCCAATCCCTCAAGATATTAAATGCCCAAGCCTTTATACAAGTCTCTTCCACTGCCAACAGAGCTGCAACCTTTCAAAAAGTAATCACTGAGGTGAGCTAACACCTAGTATTTTAATATTTACACACCTGTCATGGCTTTAAAATAAAATAATTTTTACTATTTTATTTTTCCCTTATTTTTCCCCCAAAGTACTCAAAACTGATTGACAAAAAACCAGCCCTATCCTGATGCCACTGAAGCTTGCGGAAAAGCCTCTCTCAATGCTGCCAAGAGCACAGAGAACACACCAACTTTTGTTTACCTGAATAACTGGGCATGGGTTTTTTTCCTTTTTAACTGTTTGATGATTGTTTCTCACTTTCCCATGGGATTTTTTGTTAACAGCTTCTTGTAAACTGAGCAAAGATAGAAATAGGGTCTCACAATGTCAAGCACAACTCCATTGCAGTCAGGCTCACAGGCTAGTTAATACATACTCGGCAGTCTCCAGTTTGAGCTGTGCCTATGTTGCTTTCTTTGACATTTGCACAAAAAATGGGGATACTGAGTGACCAAGACAGACATACAAACAGCAGCGTTGGATCACTGCAGAAGCCTGAGCTGACGTTCCAGCAATAGCTTCAATCTTAGCTAAGATGCCCACAAGATTTTTGTGAAAGTGAGGTTTCTTCCAACATGTCCAAGTTAGTCTTCCAGTTTAAGATGTGCAGCCCCCCTTCATTTGTGTTTAAAGGATAAATGCAGAATCCACACTGCTCCAGAAAATGCATTTAAAGTCTCACCTTACTGAAAGCAGCTCTTGGTACAAGTTCATTCTGGGCAAGATTCAGGCTCAAAATGCAATAAATCAAATAATCATTGCCAAAGCATGGCCACATTCCAAACCATTATACTTAGCAGCCCACTGTAATGTCTTTTGAAAAATATGTATATATGTCATATTACCATTTCTTTTTATGTGCAACATGCTGTTTTTCAACAACAGAAAGAAAGCTGTTCTTCATAAAAACAATTCTTAGTAACCACAGGAGGAATGTATGAGACCAAAAGCAATACATGTAAGAGACTTACTAGCATAAAAAGAAAAGCCATTGGAATTAGCTCTTCTGACTAAGCAACTTCTCTGGAAGTATGCACGAAGCAAAAGGGAGAGCAATAACAACAACCTCAAAATAATGCCCAAGTCCTTCAAACAGAAAGAGCTGTCTGCGCTTCTGGGTAGCTGCTGACTGGAGATATAGTCTCTTGATTCCCGTATTTTTGGGCTGAGTGTGGATAAGAACCATGCTTTGCATTCTTGGCAGATGCTAAAGCTTGTATCTGCCTTCTAGCCTGGGAGTTAGCAAAGCTTTTCATCAAACCACATTTCAGCAGAGACTGGTTCCTGGATCTCTTCCCTTCCTGTACAAAATCACATAACATTGATGTGGTAACTGCAGATGACTATATGGGCAAGTAACATCAGGCAATTATTTTTATGTATTTTGAATTATCTTTGAATGCAATTGTGCAATTGAGAAGGGCTGCAGGGAAGGAAGAAGAGACAGCATGACATGGCTAAATCTCCACAGATGACAGCTGGACAGCCTCACCTCTTGCCAGTCCAAGGATCAAGCCTTAAGAAGCTGCCCTTCACAGACAAACACTGGTCAATGAATTTGAAGTTATCCTTTTAAACATTATTTATATAAGCTTCAAATTGCCATACACACACCATAAAAAACATGGCTAACCCACTCTTTTCTAGTAATAAAATATAAGAAGTTACATTGCAGCAATGCAGGATGACAGCAGGACTCATTACGCAGCCTAGTTAAGCACAAAGCTGTTTCCTCAGTTCTGCAATTAGTGCCACACATTAATTTACAGTGTACACTCTTAGCCACAAAGCTTCACTTGAAAAACTCTCAAAAAAAAAAAAAGTTTTCAGCAGCTCTAACAAATCTCTAAGAATATGAACAGACACAGAAATCTCTTCCCTATCTTCCAAAAGTCCAGTAGAATAGCATCCAGGCACAAGCACACCGCCTCCCTGACAGCACCATTTTTCACTTTCTTCCAACCCACTGGAAATGTGTCTATTTTTACTAGGAAATAGTCAACTGATATTTTGTTTCCTGTCTTTATTGTGCTTTGCTTCCCACCTATTGGTCTCCTCAAACAGTTTTGACTTTGTATTCCACGAGCTCTGCTGCACACATTGAGGAGAGGAAAGCATAAAGACGAGGTAAGATCTGTGCCTCTTGTCTTGAAAAGGCTCTCCTTAGGTTGCTACATGCCTTACTTGCATGCTGAAAGTAAAGTTACATGACTACGAAGCCAGTCACTGGCAGTCTCAACTAACGCAATGCTGAAACTTCACTGACACCAATAAGTAAAACCTTGCTCTGGACATCCTGTGTGGCAAGTTAGCAAGAAAAAAAAGAAACCAAGCCAACAGCTAGTCATCAATCACAGGTCATTTTTTAAATCATCTTATCTCTGCTTCAGCTTTCTACCTGAAAAGTAGAGATGATACAAGACCTCTAAGGCATATTATGAAAGTTAATCCATTGATGTGTCTTAAACACTTCGATTGCCAGAGGAATGCTCACAATTACATTAATAATTCTGTACTCAAGAGTAGGATTTGAATAGTAAGCAGTAAATCAGGCACAGAGCCTTGTAGGGAACAAGGAGGCAACAAAACATTCACAGCTGTTTCTTAACTGAGCTCTGCCCATCCTATGTGCACAACAGAGCAAGGGTACAAGAACGATGTAAGAGAAAGCACAAAAGTAAGAACGTCTTCCCATCCCCAGAGGCCATAATATAATGCACATACAGAACCTCAAACTAAAATTTGATGGGTTCTTTTAAATAATACAGAAATAGCAGCCCTAACATGTTTTTAGGGCAAGCTTGTCTAAGATCAATGCCCAGCACAGGTGAGTATGTCATATTACTATTTACACTTACGGTTTTGTGTACATACAGAAGGATGCAAGAAATCCAGACTGTAAACTCAGGGTATATAAATACACTTATCATTTGGAAGTCTGTGTATATCCCACTAAAAAAGGCATGGAAAATGACGGCTTTGCCTTTCAATGCCAACAGATTCTTTGGTGCAAGACTTATTACAACACTGAACATGCTAACTTGAGATAAACGATCTGCAGAGACAAACTTCATTATCCCTTCTTTTAAAATTACCCGTTTTGCTGTTTCAATCAGAGAAGCTGCTTCAGTCTTGCCCACTTGCTGCACCATTTTGTAAAACAAACCATCTTGTTCTTGCAGCAAAATGTAAGGTTCACCATATTCTTTCAGTCTTCCTGCATCTAAAACCTGTTAAATCAGAAGAAACCAATGTATTAACATAAGAAATTCAAAACCAAATGTTAGAGACTACAAGCAAGGGGGAAATGTATGCACTTTAAGTGCTAAGGTGAATTTTGCATCTTGAAAATGAAACATGTCCTCTTCAAACTAGCATAGCACTTTCTCAGTTTGTAGACCTGTTGTATGATTTTAGAGTGCCCTACAGCCATTCCACCTATAGGAATCCAATGCAAAGTTATGCAGAATATGGAAATACAATGTTTGTGAAGCCAACAAAGCAGATTATAAGATTCATTGTGTAAGAAAGAAACAAAGGCCTAAAATGGGCTCTGAAGTAAACACCTGTGGGTAAAAACCACGCAATAACCACCAAGACGGTTAAGGACGAATAAGTAGGTCTTTTGGATTAGAGGAGGTGAAGATGTAATTAAAGAAAATGAGGGTGTTGCTGAAAAGATAAACAATTTATTGCATAAGTTTTTGCCAACTACGTATTAGGAAGATACTCTGAACCTATTCTTTCTACATAAAAAAAGATGAGACGCCACCGAGGACATAGGTACCCAAAAGAGAGTAAGGGAGAAGGAAAAAAACAAGAGAAATTAAAAAGGCATTAAGTCAGTAAGCCACAAGGCACATCCACAGTCAAAAATATTAGAAAAAATTAAGAATAAGGTGACAACTGCTAAGAAAATATTCTTATACTAGTGACTATTTAAGGACTGAATGGTAACAAATATTGCACTTGGATGTTGAAAAGCCTCACAGGATTCATTTAGGGAATTTAGACTAGCATATATATTTTGAGATAAGACAGCAATTGAGTTTAAGTAATCATTAAAACACAAGAAGACACACAGATCACAGGTAGAATTTGTTCTCTGCAGTTTTAGGAAAAGTAAATTGTGTCTCACAAATCTGATATAATTCTTAATGCACCAGAAGAAAACTAAAGGAGAAATGGTTTATATGCACTTCCAGAAAAGTATCTGGTGTAACTAAACAGCTGTGTCACAAGGGATAAAAATTTCTCAAGAACCTGGACAGAAAACAGAGATTAGAAATAAACTGCATTTTCCTCCACGGAAAGCTGAACAGGTAGGAACTGGTGGGAACCACATTGTTCTGGCATATGTGGTAGCTACGTATATGTCAGTCATCAGAAAAAGGAGTTAGCAGAAAAGCAACAAACCTGCAAATGACACAAAAATGTGCAGGTAAGTCTAGACCAGAGGAGATTCAGATACACTTAACTAACCTAAGAGAATAAGAAACACTATACCAGGAAAAAGTCAATATTGACAAAGGCAATGCACTCAGATACTTAACTGGCTTATAAATTAATGGTATTGACTGAAGAAAGAGATTTAGGTATCAGTCTACAAGTTCAGTACTTTAGTCCACATGTTGGAGCAGTCAAGTAAAAAAAAGAAAAAAGAACTAATGTGAGAAAACAAAGTAATTCAGAATACAGTTTTGTTCTTATATAAATGAAAAACTGAATGCACACAGCATACTATTGAAAAACATATTGCTGCAACAGAGGGACTTCAAGGACTCATAAGCCCAGCCATAATTGTGGTGTACACACTTGTAGGAAAAAAAGGATCTGAAAATCTGGAGCCGTTGATTTCAGGAGAGAAATGCATAAAAAGTGTTAGGAGGACAACTTCCAAAATAACAAAACTAGTTTGCAAACACCTGTTTGAAAAATAAACTCCAATAAGCTTCCAGACAAATTCAAAGTCCTGTGAGGAAAGGATCAACCTTGCACTTTGCCTGTAGAAGTCCTTAAAGCAGATGGCCAAGGGGATCTCCAGGTGGCCTGGACAGCCGTTAACGACAAAACCTGCAGAGAAGCAGGACATCTGAGCCGATCCCTTCACCTGCACTGGTGTGAAAATCACAAGCACAATCTCATCTGACTCAAGTTTGACACCAGGGACCCAGCACTAGGGGAAGGGTGCCCACTCCTTCTCTTCCGGTTCAGTTAAGTACATTTCATTTGAATGGAAAATAACTCAGCCAACAACAGCAGCATAATTACATCTCATTTTATAAATTGTATGCACAGAAACCTATGAGGAGTTGTTTTATATTTTCAAAAGCTTGTATCTAAACAGGGGAAGTTTAGATTGGATATAAGGAGGAAATTCTTTCCTGTTAGGGTGGTGAGGCACTGGAATAGGTTGCCCAGGGAGGCTGTGAATGCTCCATCCCTGGCAGTGTTCAAGACCAGGTTGGATGAGGCCTTGGGTGATATGGTTCAGTGTGAGGTGTTCCTGCCCATGGCAGGGGGATTGGAACTAGATGATCTTAAGGTCCTTTCCAACCCTAACGATTCCATGATTCTGTGATTCTATGATCTTAGAGCACCCAAGTTATACTATGATTTTCCTTTGAAAGCCATTTCCAGTGTTGTTTGGTATACAGCTGAGGAAGGTGGTCATGGAAAAATTTTAAAATATCATCACAGAATGGTTTGGGTTGGAAAGAACCTTAAAGCTCACCCAGTTCCAACCCCTCTGCCACAGGCAGGGACGCCTTCCACTAGACCAGGCTGCTCAAAGCCCCATCCAACCTGGCCTTGAACACTGCCAGGGTTAGAGCAGCCACAGCTTCTCTGGGCAACCTGTGCCGGTGCTTCACAATACACAAGAGATGCAGTATTTCACCTGCAAAGGTATACTTGCACACAAGTTTCATTTTTCAGTGTACTTACTCCTATCCTATTTAATCTGAATATTCAAGAATTAATGGCAACTTTAATCGCAATCTTTTAAATACTCCAATATGTCACAGTTGAGAACAGCTTCCTAAAAAATGCAACAAATTAATTTACCATATACAGCTCAACCTAAGAACGAAACAGGATGTTTCTGGTGCTTTGAATATGTATTTTTCAGCATAGCATTAGATTATGTAACCACTCCTTAAGAAAGACAACAAAAAGCATCTACATTAAATGTGTCTCTCACAAGCAAAGAACTACAACAGAAAAAGCAATGGGGCTTTTAAAATTTATATTACTGTGGTATTAGAATTTTAACATCCATTTTGCAACTATCTGGAACAACCACAAAAACATGGACAATCCTCCTGCTCCAGAGAACCTGGGGAAAAGAAGGAAAATTCACTTTTCCTTGACAAGTTTTAAACAGCCAAGTGCAGAAGAGGAACAGAGCGAGAAAAATTCTGTTCACATTTAAACAAATCATTAATTTGTTCATATCCTTTCGCAGTGAATAAAACCAAACTTGTGTTATGAAAACAGACAGAACAAAACACAGGGAAAACAAACTGTGGTCCTTTTTTCTAAAAAATTCTGAAAGAAAAATGAAGAATGAAACTGAACAGACAACATCATTCCTACGAGTCAGGAACGCTCCATAAACCCTACTCACCATGGAAAAACACTGTTTCTATTAACGGCTGTCATCTATGAGACAATGGAGAAAATGCAAGCTGATTTACTTGGTAGTTACATGTTTATATACTTATGCATTTATTAAAAAGCGCTTAGACAAAGAGATAGGTACTCTTCTTTGAAGAAATATGTGCTGATAAAATTTAAATAAATAAATAGGTACTTTGGCTAAGGCTTTGCATACTCTTACTCACTGACTCCAAGCCAAATTAAAATCATTAGGACTTCAAAAAGCCAGCTAATCATTCAGGAAAGGTGGAATCTGGTGTTTACCAGCCACATATTTTCTGATCAACCTGCATGCAATGCTTATCACTGCACAATATGACCGAATTGAACCCAGATGTGTTCCAAGGCAGTTGTACCAGTGGAACTTGATACAGAAAAGCCAGAGAAGCTTGTAGCTGGCGAAATCAGATCGGCAGGGTGATTAACTGAGGACACATGCAGGAGCACGTGACTCTGAATCAGACTGGGACTTTGTTATAGGCTTTAACACAGATACTGAGAGGGGGATTTTGGACAAATCATTCAACTTTTCAGCTACTTGGTCTGACTCTTTGTAAAACACACCAAATAAAGACTCGTAATCATTCTGTGGGAGTTAACTGCCTGTGAAATACTTAGACAGCCCAGAGTAAAATAAAAACAAACACAAAAAAGCTATATAAAGCCAAAGTACTCAGTCATACATAAACCAGGGCCAGATTTGCCACCGTCTTGCACTGGCAGCTTGTTTTACCTCGCCTGAACCGTTGTTGCCTTTGTACCACATCCTTATGACTTCAACAGGATTTTCTCAAGTCGAAGAGTAATTTTAACAGTACAAGATTTACAAAATTGGCAAAAAAAAAAAAAAAAGAAAAAAAAAAGGCACGCAGAAAAATCCTTATTCAATGGAAACTGCTCACATCCTTGTGTAAGGTGAAACTGCTCTTTACTTATAGCTATCCACGTTATCCTTACTGAAGCAGAACTATTCAGACATCTTAAGTTCAAACAGGGCTCAGATACTATGCTCTCAAGCAAAATCCTCTCCTGCCACCTAATTCCACTCCACCTAATGTTTCAACCCCATTCAATAGGCTGGGGCAATGGCTGCTTATCCCAGCTGTGATCTTTTCAGAAGGATAAGCACCATGTTGGGCAGAAGGCAACACAGTTTTGAACAGCACTTTGTGAGACAGACAGGCACAAAATACCATAGAAGGAGTGAGATTAAAACATGTCAGGGAAGGACAGAGAAACAGAAAAGCAGCATTTGAATTTGTCTAACCTGCAAAGACAAATGTGAAAATGGATTATTAGCCATTTAAATGTGTTTACGTTAACTCTAGATGGCACAGAAAGACTACTTGCCTATGCCAGAAAACTGTTGCTGAACTAAATTTGTGTAAGATTTGGCAACTATAAAATAGTTGTCCATTTTGCCCCGTGTGTATCCTACCAGGGTATCTATCTTCACGCCATTTGCCTAGGCTTCCCCCCCACCAAATTTTGCACCATTTCATTCCATAGCCTCATAGTCTAATGTATCAACCATGACAAAAAAAGCAGCAGAGGGAAGACAAAAAGGAAA